ATCTGAACAAGAGATGAATAAGCAGCAAATGTGGTGCCTGAGGCTGGGTATCAGGATGCTTATAATAATGCTCTGTGGGCCTCAGTTTTCCAATTCTAAAATGGATAGGAGAATCTCGACTCCTGTCTTTCTTGGCTTAGGGTAAGTTTTATAAATGAGATAATCTTCATGAAAGGTCATAATGGACATTTGTTGCAGTTCTTAGATCATGCCATACTCTTTTCTGTCTCTGGACTTTTGTTTCTCCTCCCACTCCTCTATCCACCTGGCAAAGGCCTAGTCATCTTCAGCTTGCAAAGTAACAGGGAGGTTTTCCCTGATCTGTCCCTCAGGCCTCTAATGGTTGTATATCTCATTAGCTGTTTCTTCCTATTGCTAACCCAGTGACAAGTATATATAATCATTTGTGAAACTATTTCACTGTTGAATGTACACCCTATCTGAAGTTGCCCTGGTGGGGGTAGAGTGTGTGGAGGGGTGTCTCAGGTTCTCTTCTGGTTGAATCTCAATGAGTGGACAACTTGTGAGTGAAAGACCCCATGGTGGGGAGCAAAGGGGATCAACATTCGTGGCCTACGTGTTTCAGGGCCAGGAGAGCCATGATGGACAGAAGATCACTAAAGGTGATGACTATAAATTGTCCCTCTGGAAAATGGCAGGACTTGCCAAGAGCTCCTGTTGTGCTCTGAGTGCTTCTGCATACAAGCAAATTTAATCCTGTACCAGCCCTCTGAGTTAAGAATTCATATTATTTCCATTTTACCCATGAGGAAACAGAGGCTCTGAGAAGATAAGTAACCTGTCCAAGACCATCCTGGTGGTAGTGGTAGAGCAGGGAGACAGTGTAGGAGAGGACCTATTCTGGAAGAGGACCCTAGTAGGAAGATGAGAAACCAAAGCCAGCTCCTAGAGACATGGCTCTATCACGACCCATCCCTGCCACCTGGCTTTCTCCCAGATTTCAGACTTTGGTCTGTCCAAGTGGATGGAACGGTTGACCCAGATGCAGTGCATCGAAAGGTCGGCTCTGTGGGGCACGCTCAGCTATATCCCCCTGAGATGTTCCTGGACAGTAACAAGGCCACGAGGCCCAAGTACGATGTGTAGAGGTGAGTGGGTGACTGGGCTTCTTGTCACATACCCAGGAGGCAGCTTTTTGCCGCCACCCCACCAGGTCCTCATAAGCCGATGGATAGGGTGGGATAGGGATGAGTCTGGGGCCTCCCTGCCCTGGTGGAAGGGGAGGGTTGGGAGGACCTTGGCTGGAGAGGCCTTATTTGGGATTGTGGGGTTCATGGGTCCTGGCTGGGGTGATGGTGGGTTTCCTAGTCTCTCAGGGAACATTTTCCTCATCACAGCTTTGGGATTGTCATCTGGGAGCTCCTCACTCAGAAGAAACCAAATTCAGGTAGAGATGGCTGTGGCTCTGTGTCTGGGGCAGAGGCTGTCCCCTCAGCTGGGGTCCTGGAAAGAGCTGTGGGAGGTCTGAGGTTAGTGAGGGCAGAATAAGCCACAGGTTTGTGTCGAGAGACGAAATGCTCTTCAGGGATTCCCACCTCGCTCTCCTTCCTTCTGCCCCCTTGTATCTAGAGCTCATGTGATAGTAAAAGTGAGCCCAGGGCTTGTTTGGTGGCTCCAAGTTCCTTGTCCCCAAGGTGCTCTTGCTGGCCATTCCCCCACCCCTGCCACCCAGATGCAGGTGAGAGCTTGTGAGGCAACGTGGACAGCCTTGCCAGATGGAGAGCCAAAGCCGTCAGCCTGGCCTGTGTGTCCTCTCTGCTGCCTTTGGACGGCAGAAGCCTGCAGTTGGGTTCATGTCCAGTCTTCACCTGGAAGGGGGCTAGAGCTAGACCAGAGACTGAGATGCTCAAGTCAGAGACTCAAGTGGGTCCCAAATCTAGCTGTTTACTCACGGAGCATTTATAGAGCCCCTCCTGAGTACACATTGGGGTCCTCTTAGCCCCCACGCTCCTGCCAGACCCCCTCTGCCCCTGCATCCTAGCACCTGCTCAGCCTGGGACTCCTCTCATAGGACTCAACCTGATGACTGTCATCATCAGAGTGGCTGCAGGTATGTGGCTCTCCCTGCAGCCTGTCTCTGATGATGGCCAGGCGAGGCCCAGCAGATGGTGGACCTGATGAGGCGCTGCTGGGACCAGGACCCCAAGAAGAGTTCGTGCTTTCTAGGTGTTTCTCTGGCCTTCCCTGTCTAGGGCCTAGGGGGGCATGGGTGGGAAGAGGAGGGTGGACGACTGGGCCCCAGCTCATTCCTGAGAGTGGTGCAGATACCCATGGGACTAGTGCCTGGAGAGATTTCTGAGGCAGAATCTGTATCACAGGACCAGGACAGCTGAGGACAGAGGTCTGTTCAGTGGGTGCTCAGGTGTATACCTACAGAAGGTGGCAGAAGCTGCAACCTGTGAACCTGGCCTGCTGCTGGGCCCTCCAGCCAGTCCTGAGTCCTTTCAGGGGTACAGCATCCTTGAAAACATCCCATAACATGAGGTCACTGGCCTGGAAGGGACATGAAATTATCTAGTCCATGTGTGAGCACCTTAGAGACCACCTGGGCCTGCCCCCTACTTTAATGGAAAAGGATTGATCCCCAAGGTCAGTGACCTGACAAATGGGTCCTTGCCAAGCCAGACTGGGACCCTGTCTCCTTGTGTGCATATATGGACATACATGAGTCCAGGAATGGGCTTTTGTGGGGACACAGGAAACATCAGAGTATCTAAAATGGGACAGGACTGCTGGCTAACGTTGTCTTCTTTATCTCTCTCCCTTGCGGAGCAGACATCACAATCGAGACAGACATGCTACGGTCACTGCTCCAGAACTTTGTGACAGACCCCAAGAGTGAGACCCTGGCCAGGAAGGTGTCTTGTAAGCCATCACTGCACCAGCCCCAAGAGGTGGGTGCACACACTGTGAAAGCCCACTCCTGTGCTCCCTGGAGCCCACTGTGGACCTCCAGGGTCTCTGGCAGGGCATGTGTGCAGAGGCTGTGTCCTTGACAAGGTCACCTGGCTGAGTGGGCAAGTGGAGACTAAAAGCCAACCTCACTCTGCTCACCAGGCCACGAGCCCAGCTGGGGGCTGCCTACAACCAGAGGGAACAACACTTCCTAATTTGCATGAAGGCGCTGCAAGGGCCAGTGGTGCCATGGCTCAGAACCCCTGGGAAGGACAAAACCCCTCTCACCTGTTTAGGGTTTACAGACGGAGGGCACTGCTCTCCTAAGGTGTCGCACTATAGGCATCTGCATCATCTCTCTGCTCTCTGGCTCCTCTCTGAGAGCTAGCAGGGGACTCCTTGCTGAACCCACAGATCTATCCTGTAGTTCATGTGGCCCCAAGGGAATGCCAGGCCCTGGGTCTCCTTTTTTCTGGGCAGATCTCCTCTACATAGTGTTTGCCTCTGGGCACAGCTGGAGGAATAATAGCTTAGAAGGAAAGTCACCCAGATCATGGTGGGATGTGCATGCTGGACGGTGACAGGGAGCACTGGAGAGAGGGGAGGAGGGAAGAAGGCACAGTGAGAACTGCCCTGCTCATCTGCCCTGTATCTGCCGGTTCTGCCTCCCCAGGTCCACAAGGAGGTCAGCCAGGAGCGGTGAGTCAGGGTACTACAGTGGGACTAGAATTCAGAGAGAGGAGAAAGTGGAGTCCAATCAGGCCCTTTCCCCACCCTCCTTAATGCTCTCACCCCAGGCCTGTCACATATCCAGGGTGGAAGGGCCCTCTCCAGATCCTAGCTGCACGGTCGAGAAACACACATGCCCTGGGATTCCTGGCTTTGCTTCCCCTTCAGGTCTCAGTCCTGGCAAGACCAGATTCCCCCATTCCTGACCCAAGAGATAGAGCACTGGTTCTCAGCATGGACTGCAGAATTACTTGGGAGATTGAAAAAATTATATATAACTACAGATCCATGGTGTCCACCCAGACAAATGAGAGGTTTGGGCCTGGGCAGTGATCATGGTTGTTCTTGATTGTAATAGGCCACTGGGTAGAGCAGGAGGAAGTGAGGCCTGAAGACCTCAGAGGGACTTTAGATCATACAGGTCCAACCACAGATGTATTTCTCATTGGATGGACTTACCTCCTGCAAGCCCATTCCCTGCCAGTTCTTATGTCCCTCACTTGTCCTCACACTGTAGAATGAGCTGAGCATTCTTCATCACTGAACCAAATACAGAGGCTCAAAGAGGCAGAGAACAGGCTGAGGTCAGGAGATGTTAAGGGCTGGAGTGAGGGTTTGCACCCAGGCCTCCCCATCTCTGGCTCTCTGAACTCCTCTATGCAAGAGGAGAACTGCAGGCTCAGCTCTTCAAGACAAAAAGTGAAAACAAAACAAAACCTGGAAATCTAACAGTGACAGGGAAGAATGCAGAGGTCCTTGATACCAGGAAGATATAGCCCTCACCTCTCTACTCTGCTCCCAGATAGTACCTCCAAGAGGCAGGGGGATGGCCAAGATGACTTCTGGACAGATCAAAGAGCTCTTTTTTCAATATCTTCCTCCAACAGACTCAGGAGACTACTTGAAGAGGGTCCTGCAACTCTCTGACAGCGAGAGTTTGGATCCAATGGATGAGGAACTGCTGCCCAGGGAAGTGTGGAGCAGGTGAGGCTGCTCCTGGCACTCGAGGTTGATGTGGACTGCCAGACAGCCTCTGGCTACACACCTCTCCTCATTGCCGCCCAGGACTAGCAGCCTGACCTCTGAGCTCTGCTCCTGGCACATGGTGCTGGTGCCAACCTGGTGGATGATGATGGCTGGGCCCCACTGCACTTTGCAGCCCAGAATGGGGATGACCACACTGCCCGCCTGCTCCTGGACCATGGGGCCCTCGTGGATGCTCAGGAGCATGAGGGCTGGACCCCACTCCACCTGGCCACACAGAACAATTTTGAGAATGTGACACGGATTTTGGTCTCCCGTCAAGCTGACTCTAACCTACGTGAGGTTGAGGGCAGGACTCCCCTGCATGTGGCTGCCTACTTTGGCCATGTCAGTCTGGTCAAGCTGTTGACAGGACAGGGGGCTGAGCTGGATGCTCAGCAGAGAAACCTGCAGACAGCCCTGCACCTGGCAGTAGAGCAGGGCAAACTGAGGGCCATCCAACACTTGCTGAAGAGTGGGCCGGCCCCTGACGCCCTTGACGAAAATGGCTATGGCCCACTGCATATCGCTGCCACCAGGGGCAAGTACCTCATCTGCAAGATGCTGCTCAGGTATGGGGCCAGCCTTGAGCTTCCCACGCACCAGGGCTGGACACTCCTGCATCTAGCCACCTACAAGGGCCACCTGAGATCATCCACCTGCTGGCTGAGAACCATGCAGTCTTGGATGCTCTTGGAGGTATGAACTGGACACCCCTGCACCTGGCTGCCTGCTACAGGGAGGAGGTAGTGGTGTTAGCACTGCTGCAGTGTGGGACTGACCCCAATGCCACCGAGAAGTTGGGCTGGGACACCCCTCCACCTGGTGGTCCAGAGGGGTGCCTTCCTGGGCGTCATCAACCTCCTGGAGCACCATGCAGATGTCTGTGCCCGCAACAAGGTGGGTTGGACACCTGCCCACCTGGCTCCTCTCCAAGATTACACAGCCATCCTCAAAGTTCTGGTCAAGGCTGGTGCCCAGCTAGATGTCCAGGATGGAGTAGGCTGCACACCCTTACAGCTGGCCCTCCGGAGCCAAAAACAGGGCACCATGGCCTTTCTAGAGGGCAAGGAGCCTCCACTGGCTACTCTGGGAGGTGCTGAGCTGGGAACCCAGACAGAAGTTTAGACAAACTTGGATCCCCTCACCTGGGAGGGGAGGAGTTGGTGGAAATGAAACTTGGCTCCCAGAAGGATCCCTTCCCACCTGCCTGATTGACCTTGAGAGGAAACAGGAACCTGACGTCCTGGGGGATGGAAGGAAGGGGAGAGGTACCACTGAGGCTGTAGCCCTGGCTTGGACAGCTGCTTCCAGCACCTCCTCCAAGTCATCTCCAGCAGACCCCTGGCCTCTTCCTCCTCCTTTATAGAGACTCAACCTCCCCAGGTATGCTCCCTTTCCAGCCTCAAGATGGCTGCCACCTCCCTCTGAGTTCATGGGGCCCTTGCATTCTAGGAAACCCCTCTGAAGACAAAGGGAGCCTAGGAGTGAGGGGAGTGGTGCCAACTAGCTCCCATCTTGTGTCCTTGTCCTCACCTCAGGCTACAGTAAGACAGCCAGACTCACCTGCTTCACAGGGAGCAGGAGCTCAGAGTTCAGAGGAAATGCCTGCTCACCATGTAGGGCTTCAGTCAGTCCCCGGTCCCCACACTGACCACACCTTCCTGGTGGCCCAGGCCCCCATGCCTGTCTCCTACATGGTGTCTTGGAGGTGAAGGAAATGTGTCTCAGCTGTAGTTGAGTGGTCCTATGTGGGACACCTATTTCCTGACCCCTGGCCCCATCCTTCTTTGTGTCCAGTTACACAGACAGGTTTCAAACCCTGGAGACAACAAAACTGCGAATCTGAGTCTCTCTGTTGGAAATGCATTGAGCTGTGGAACCAGGGCATACACAGGGGCCAGCAGCATTAGCATAGGGTGTGTGTGTGCGTGCATGCATGTGTGTGTGTGTGTGCTGTGTGTATATTACACATGTGTGAGCTCACATGGGAGGGAGGTGGAGGGTAGCTGAGGAGAGTTGGAGGATGTGTGTGTGTGTGTGTGTGATTTGTCTGGTGTGCTATGTGCGTGTGTAATATGTGTGAGTTCATGTGGAGGGAGGAGGCAGGGCAGCTGAGGGGAGGGTCATCTGGACTGGATGTGGAGTTGGCTGGGCATGGACTTTTCTCCTTAGCAGCCACTCTGAGAGCCAGCTCTCCCATGACTGTACCCTGTCCACCCATCCCCTGTACTGGCCCAGCCTGCTGGTCGGGGGCAGGTGGGGGCAGGTTAGAGCTTCTGACACTAATTTTGTGTGATGGAGGCCCTGGCTAAGTGGCCAGGGGACTTCCAGGAGAGCAGCCAGCCTGTGGGAGGGAGAAGGACAAGATGGGTCTTATACTGCTCTCTCTGCCTTTCCACGCTGCACAGTGAAGGCAGCCATCCAGCCCAAGGGTGTTTTGCAACTCTTAGAGAAAGGGACACTTTTGCCCCATCTTCAGCCAGTTTCAACTGCTGAGCCAGTTGGCAGGCCCACCCCTGTGTGCCACACTTTTTGGCTGGGCATAGGGTCCCCAGTAAGCAGCCTAGTATTAACATGGGTTGAGAGGGACAGGGAAGAGAAAACCTGCCGCCTCGGGTACAGCCCTACTGAGTTCATTAGTCCATTTTTGCAGCGCTGATACATCACATCCTCTCTTCTGTGGTCTCTAGACTGTGTCCAGCCCAAGGAGCCTCATGGAGCTGGCTTGTATCCTCGAGCAGAAGCTAGAAGTCAAAGCTGCATGGTAGTCTTCAGGTGAGGGGCTTTTAAAATATACCAATACCCCACCCTCAGCCAATTTAACCAGAAACTCCAGGGTAGGATCCTACTGTGAGCATGGTGAACAATTTCCAGGTGATTCTGAAGAACAACCAAGGCTGAGAACCACCACCAGGGGGCATCCCGTATTTTCTCTCTGCACCCTTCTTTAGTATAACCACAGAGGCAGTCACTGGCCAGCTGCCCTTAGGCTGGGGAAGGCTTTCTTCTCCTGGGTGGCCAAGTAAGGGTTCCTGAGGCCTGAGGAGATGGGCCACGCAGCAGAATGTCCCCTCCTCTCGATTTTTGCTGGTCACCCACGAGATCCCTTGGTTCTCCTGGACACTAAGCCTTAGGTAAAACAAGAAGTTAAAAATGCCTCTGGAAGTTCTGTCCTTCCCAGAACAATCAGGGCAGGAGGAGGAGGAGAGGTGGGTGCTCAAGGCTGTTTTCATCTTTTTGCAACCTGAAATCTGAAAGAGCTTCAAGTCCAGGATTCATTAGAGCCAGAGGAGAGGGTCAGGGCTGCATGTTCACACCAGTTGGGTGCAGTTACATCAATAGGAACGGCAAGGACAGAGCCACAGGGAAGGATAGTGCCTGGTTTATCCGATTGGGAAGAGTTTGAGGAGAGACCAGTGGGGTCCCATGGTGACGTGGACAGAACTGTGCCTGGGTATCATTGCTGCTTGGAAGACCCTGAGTCTAGGCTGAGGTCTGTAGACCCCTGCTTCCTTGATTCCTCTTCTTCTAGAGGCAATAGCAGTAATAGGTTCGGGCCAGCCTGGTCAAAGCAACCCTTCATTGTCTGTGAGCACCCCTTTCTCCTTTCCCAAGCCACCTTCACCAGACTCGACACCAACACACAGCATGACATCTCAACACAGCAGTCTTCTGGGGGTTCTCAGGGACTTTACAGTTGGATTTTAGTGAGGCCCTTGAAATTCCCAAGAAGAGCATCTCTAGTGGAATTTCAAGCTGTATTTGAGAAAATTCGGGGTGGGGGATACTAGAAATTGGGTGCCCCAATTTCTTACTGGACATCTCCACTTGAATCCTTAAACTGTCCCAAACTGAACATTTCTTCCCCCTCCTGAGGTCTGCTCTTTACTTTATCCCCAGTTCTATTTGAAGTTATTCAAACTTGGAACCTTGGAGTCATTCTGGACCTTCACTGTTCAACAGGACAATGTGAGAACACTATGGCTCCCTTCGGTGCTCCGGCTGGAAAATGAGGAGGGGAGAGGATGTAGAGGGAGGAAGCAGGTCTTCCTGCTGTGGCAAGGAGGAGGGCAGTCAGTAGGGCAGGGCTCCCAGAATACAAGGATGGCAGCTCTGGTCATTTCTGTTCAGGATCATTCCTTCTCTGCCCACCCCTGTGGAACATACCTCTCCAACTTGTTCGGGCCTCCAGTCAGGGCTCCAGACCTTCTGAGACCCATATTCCTCTTCCTATGGCTTCTCTTGCCATTGTGATCACCAGTCCCTGGTTCCTCATGTTATTGCTCTGAGTTCCCTTCTCCCATCAGTGCCTGCTTGGATCTTATTTAACCTTCAAGATGTAAATTGCCCATCTCTGTCCATGAAACCTTCTCTGCTTGCGCTGCAAGAGATGACCACCCCCCTCAAGGGCACTGTACCCGCACCCCCTGAGTGCAGTGCAGAGGGCTGCTCTCTGGTCTGCTTTCTTTGCTAGGTGCCAAATGCCATGCCATTGTGTACTACTGGTTTCTTATCCCATCCTGTCTGCTCTCTGTGTTCTACCTCTGCTTACTGAATGAGATCATAAGCAGCATATGCTTTGCTGCAATATAATGAAAGGTAGGGAGAGTAGGGACAAGGTTGGCCTGAGGCAGAGGAGGGAAGCTGTGGAAGGTTGGGTTCAGTGGGCCCAGGCAGGCAAACCTGGGTACAAATCCTGGCTGAGCCACCCACTAGTCACATGAACTTAGGTTGCTGAAACTCCTTTAGCCTTGGTCATATCATTTAACAATGATGATGCTTAGATCCCTGGGTTGTTGTAATGGTTAAATTAGGTAACATGCTGGTCCAAGGGCAAGGCGATTAAGCTCCCAACACTTAATCAGAGGGATATTGCTCTTGGAATAGGGCACAGACCATCCAGCTTTGGGGAAGCTTTGAAGGAGGATGCTCAAGGAGCAGCTGCCTGGTTTCCTTTGCCAATGCATCTGGGAAGGCAGCAGGGACTCTCCTTTGGTGCTTTGGAGTGGGCTGTGACCCTGGGATATACCTAAAATACTGTTGTGTCAGCTACAGAGCAAGGACAAGCCTGCTGGTCATTCATGCCTGCTGAGGTCCTTTGGTGAGGGTGATCTACAGATTGCCTGACTGGGAGCCCCAAACTCTCAATGGGGATTCAGTGTGAACAAAGCAAAGGTGTATGTTTGCATCCACCAGGAGAAGAAGGTAGGATCACACAGATGAACTGTTGTGTTGGACCCTACTCTGCCTTCAAATGGGTAAAGGGTCTGTATGCACACAAAATGGGGCAGGCAGCTGAATTGAGCAACTTAAGGAAGTGGGTGAGTAGGTGGGAGAGGAGGTGGGTGGAACCTGAGATTTGGCAGGAAAGAGGGCTTGGGGACAGGTCTTGCTGTCAGCTTTTCTGGCTCTGGACCCTATAGTAGCACCTGCTCTTGGGGGTTATGGAACTTGTCTCCTCCAGGGCAATTTCCTTTCTCTCTTCCCCACCCTATCCTTTCTCTCAACTGCCCTGGATGAAATTCAGACCCTGATTTCCAAATGTCTCTTCCCTCATGCTGTGTGCTCCTGGGAGCCACAGGTCAGAGTGTTTGGACATAGTCAGAAAAATCCAGGAGAATTGAATGTCCTGGCTTTGTTTCCCCATGGTCCATTGCTCCTCACCTAGCCCCACTCAGCCCCACAATAGTACTGCCTCCTTCCTCACCTGTCACCCTCCACTTCACCTTCAGCACCTGATTCCCACTGCCCCAGGTTCTGGGGAGACTGGCTCCCTGTCTCTGGCCTCAGCACAGCTCAAGGTCTCAGGAAAGAAGCCGAGTGTGTGCACAAGGGAGGAAGCCTTAAACCAGTGCAGTGGTCATGAGGCATTTCCATGATCTTGGGGCTGCCTATAGATTCAATTGAGAGTGAAAGGTTGCTCTAGATGGGCCAAGGTTCTTCCCAGCAGCTCTTGCCTTGCTCCCTCTTCTGGGGTAACCCTGGGTAGAATAAGGATGGGAGCAGGAATAGGAAGTGGTTCTCATCAGCTACCGTCTTCCCCTTTCTCCCTTAATCTCACAGAGCTGGGGTGATCTCTCTGCTCCAAAAATGCTCCGTTGTCTCCTCACCAGCTTCCTGCTTCA